GATGAAGAAGTACTCTCCTTATATTTTCAAGACCAAGATTCTTGGGGAGGAAACTGCTGTCATATGTGGTCCTGAAGGACACAAGTTTCTTTTCTCCAATGAGCAAAAGCTCTTCACAGCTTTCCGACCTCACTCGATGCAGAAACTGTTCCGCTCTTACCAGGCTGCTGCGCCAGTTCAGATTACCAGGGATGCTGAGGCAAAAATTTTGCGGTCTCCAGGATTCTTGAAGCCTGAAGCATTGGTGAGGTATTTGGGGAAAATGGATTCCATCACTCAGCAACAGATGGAGAAATACTGGCAAGGCAAAGATGAAGCGAAGGCCTTCCCTCTTGCTAAGACCCTGACCTTGACTCTAGCATGTCGTTTCTTCTTGGGCATTGATGACCCTGAGCGTATCTCTAGGCTCGTTACCAACTTTGATGATATTACCTTGGGGATGCATTCAATACCTGTGAACTTTCCAGGGACAATTTTTTACAGAGCGAACAGGGCGGCAGCTGCCATCAGGAAGGAGTTAAGAGAAGTTATAAAGGAGAAGAAAACTGCCATGGCGACAGGAGCACCTATGCAGGACATACTTTCCCATATGATTGTGGCCACTGACCCGTCCGGAAAGTACATGCCTGAGGCTGAGATTGCTGATAAGATTATGGGGTTGCTGGTTGCAGGGTACAGCACTGTGGCTACTGCTATGACTTTCTTCATGAAATACGTTGGAGAGAGGCCTGATATCTATGACAAAATCTTAGCTGGTATGTACATACAATACAACCACTTTCATCTTTATTTACTCGCATCAAATTAATTTGTCAGGTTCTAATTATTGTGAAAGTTTGAAACCTGCAGAGCAATCAGAGGTTGCAGCTGCCAAAAAGCCAGGCGAGCTCTTGGATTGGGATGACATACAGAAGATGAAGTATTCATGGAATGTATTGTACGAAGTGATGAGACTGACACCTCCACTTCAGGGAACTTTCAGGGAAGCCCTCACGGAGTTTACTTATGCTGGTTTCACCATTCCAAAGGGATGGAAGGTATGTCCGTCAGTATGTGATAGTCTAGCTCAACATGATCGAGTTAGCCGACAGCCAACCACGACTAATCTCCAAGCTGACCAATCAATGTCTTTTCCTGCAGGTATACTGGACAGTCAGCACAGCGAACAGGAACCCAGAATTCTTTCCAGAACCGGACAAATTTGACCCTTCAAGATACGATGAAGGAAATACTTTTCCCCCTTTCACATTTGTTCCATTTGGAGGTGGACCTCGGATGTGCCCAGGGAAAGAGTACGCTCGACTGGCCATACTCACCTTCGTGCACAACGTTGTGAAAAGGTTCAAGTGGGAATTGGTGGAGCCAAAGGAAAAGATCGTTGGAGATATGATGCCAACACCAGAAAAAGGACTCCCCATTCGCCTTAGACGTCACTAGGCTGGCGTCTCAAAGCTCTCTCCTTTTGATTCTAAATATACAAAGAGACTTTTCTCATGTTTTTAATAAACTTGTAACCATGTGAACATTCTCCATATATAGTTTTAGCTTAAGCAGGTTCCCAAAACCTATGGCTTTGTCCCTTCTTTTTGTTGAAATCGTAATCTATCTGTCTTTCTTTATGTTACAATGGTTGAGCCACAAGATATGCTGTATCTTTCTTTTCCATAAAGCCATATTTTAGGTTTACCAAAGTTAGATTTCAGCCATTCACATTGAACAAATGTATTTAGTAACTGTTGAGAGTTGACTTACTCTACTACTACTAGTCAGAGAGAATCTAAGCCATAAAAGACAAGTGCAATTTCTTCTGAAGGGAAAACCAGATATCCATTGTCAGATACTGCGCCATTGGTGGTCCCAAAACCTGGAGCCATGATGAGAATATTTGGTTTGGCTCTGGCTAAACCCACCCTTTGATTTGAACATAACGCCCTCTTTCAACTTGTCCACTGCAATATTTGACTCTGAATTCCTCGTTCGCCCAAATGATGGACTGTGCGCCATAAGCAAGTTGGAAGGATGAAAGGTGTAGAGGATCTCAAGCAAGTCAAACTGAACAAATCCCTGCAAATCAAGTAAATATTCTGTGGATATGTGTTCACAACACTTGTATAAATACACTGCACTGATCAAGGGTATATATATGCAAGCCTTTCACGAAGAAACCTTTCCAGGTATATTGGAGGGTTAGCACAACAACCAAAAAACCCAGAAAGATTATGAGCAATGGAGATGGAGGTAGGATGAAGGACTTGCTTTAGTTCCATTGGGAGGTGGAAACGAGTTTGGTTGCTTTCAGTAGTAGCAGTACTAACGACTCGGCCAAAAGATTCAAATGAGGCTGATGGGAATAATGGTATGTCCCAAGTCCCATGCATCTCGTGTCCAGAAGAGATGGGTGGATCTTAAACCTAAGTTATATAAATAAGGGTTATTCTCTATTTAATAGATAATAACAAATTCAAGATTTTACATGAGAGAGATAATTAAAAGATAATTATATAAATTAAAAATTAAAAAATTATCAATCGTTATCTCAACCACTACTTCGACTCTGTTATTGATAATAAATATATTTTTTAATTAAAAATATAAGCACGTGATAAGTAAATCCCAACCTAATTTTACTTGCCGCCCTTTTCTTCTTTGTTTAACATGGTGGTGTTCTTTCCTTGGATTAGCAGCAATCAAAGCATCAACCTGGTGGTGTGGTGGTACCAAAAAAGGTCATTCTGGATAGCTACATCCACCTTCACTGCTCTCTCAATTTCACATTTTAAGTAAATAATAATAATAATAATAAGTAGTACATTACTTGTTACTCCACCAACCAATGCCCAACCTTTCTTTTGAAAATGAGTTTGTCAAATTAATTATTATAATTAAAATCATTTACCAGCAGTAGTAGCACAAATCATATACAGTAATGTCCTTTATTAGTTGGAATTAAAGATTAACTATAGGAGAATCCGAGTGGAGTTAAAACTCTGTTTTAGGTCAAGTACCATATTTGATATTAAAGCTAATCTTACGAGGTTTATTAGAGAATTATTTAGTTGAAATTGAAATTAAAATTATTCACTATCTCACGTTTATCGTGAAGTCAATCAATGTGCCAATTAAATGAACACCCATCATAAAAATTAAGATTTAAGTTTACATATTTTTTTTGTTCCTCCTTATAGTATTGCTACATATTTATTTATAAACTGTTTAGGCATAACTTGACCTAAAATAGTATAAGCTATTTTAATTTTTCCTATAATATTTATATATATAAAAGAATAGCTATTAAAAATTTTTTTAGACTCACTAATTCGAAGATATGAAGATTAGGGGTGAATAGATTAATTTCGATTCGATTAAAAATCGAATACTTGATTCTATGTCGATGGATATATTATATAGATTATGTCAATCAATTTTCAATATTTGAAATTTATAATCATGTCGATAGAAAAATTAATTATTAATAATCTATCTTTAATACAATAAGTGCAGCTTAAGTTATATATTTATCGTTATAATAAAAAAAACCGTTTATTAATGATCAAGTAATATACCACTCGAAGTTTGGTGGCTTATGGAGCAACAATAGATCGAATGAATTCAATTAATTTTATCGATTATTTAATTCAATTTATTGATTATCATTATGTCAATCAATTTTCAGTATCTAAAATTTACAATCATATCCATGAAAAAACCCCTTGATTATAAAATATATATAAATGTATAATTTTTACTTAAACAGTATAAAAATATATATTATATAAAATGTTGAAAAATAATAATAAAAGCAAACAAACCTAAATCAATTTCGATTATTTTAATTTCAAAGTATAATTCAATTTTCGAAATTATAGGCTCGTACCGATCAAAACATATAGAAAATGTCCTGCTACTCAGTCGTTGGAGAATTTCTCTTTTTTCTTTTGAAAGAAAAAGAAAATAAAAAAAGAAATCTCGTCCTAAATGGTAAAGGCACATTCACAAAAGAAATACCAAGTAATTTTGAGGTTCAATGTCTATTGGTCAGTTAATGCTAAACCTTTTCATGGCAAAGGAACACCATGCTCACAAAACATACTGTGCAACTACAACATGAGATAGACCTACCTACGAAAGGGACAGAAATTTTCCATTCATCCAATCACTAATAAATTATACACTAGCTGCTGCTGCTGCTGCTGCTGCTGCCGCCACAAAGAGAGATCCTCAGGAAACAAGCTCTAAAGCCTAGTTTGTAAGAACTCTGCCATTAGATTCCAGACGAAAATCATCACAGCACCCCTATTAAACCCCTGCCTGTAACAAAACCAACCTTAATATAAAAACAAACTTTCACTAAAAACAGTACTATAAAATATCATCTGCAAAAAATAATATATTATGTAACACAAACATCAAGAGTCACCATGCTACGAGTTAAAACATCTAGTGTAATGACAACATTTCGCACAGTTAACCCTAGGGGATTAACATACTGCTGTCACTGGTCTAAAGCAACAAAATATCACTAGATACTCAGAATTAGAGGTTCATATAGCACAAACTGTAGATGAGACAATCATGGTAGCAAACCACACCAATCATGATAGAATGCCTCTCAAGATATTTTTAGGAGATTAAGCCAATAAGGTGTTATGCTTAGCACATGTCCCTTTATGAAGCAGGAGCAAATATCCAAATTTTAGTGTTGATGGTGACTGTGATTGATGGGAACTCAGATTATAGCATTCAAATGTGAACCCAAATCATACTTTCTTTATCTATAATTTTTGGATTGATGGGAGCGTAAACTCTTAAAAGCATAGTGACTGTAAAGTGCTTTTCCAAATCATAATAGCAATCAAGCTGCAGTTGTTTTGGTAGATTAA